AGTGTCTGGGACGCGATAAATGGCTTTTATCTTGCTGCTCGACGCATCCTCTAGCCTCCAACAATGGCCGGAGTATGTCTCCTGACTCCTTGCTTCGTCGGGCTGTATTGCGCCGTAATGTTTTGGCTCCCCTTCGAAGTTGATCCAGATGAGATTCAGCGATCCCTCTGTCTGATTCATAAAGCGGACTCTGACCGGGGAAGTGCTCAATGGATCTGACGGTTCCTCGACCTGCATCAGAGAATCATTCTCTTGCTTGAATGACCCATCCCACTCGACCAATTCCGTCACGTATTCCCATTTCTTCCCCTTTGCTAGAAAGCGAGCCGTACCACCATCTGGTGTAATTTCGATCCAAAGGAAAGGAAGCTGGTGGGGGTCCAAATCTGTTCCCGTCTTCTCGCCCAACTCCTTTGCAAGTTTCTCATGATCAAATGCAGGCCTGACAATCTTATCTGCCGCATGAACAAACATGAACTGATATTTTTCATCGTCGAGCTTCTGGCGGTACCAAAAAGAATCGCCGCCAGGGGTCCAGTGAGGTGTAACAGCCGTCTCCTGGAGACAGCGATCCTCGATTGAAAGCATGCTGTCGCTCGAAGATGAAACGTGAGTCTTACGATGATCTATGGAGGAGAGGGATAAATGTCACTCCAGGTCGACCAACGACCAACAGGAAGCATTTATCAGTATCGCCTATCATTTGAGGAGCTAACGCACAGCCCCTTTAGGGCGGGGGTCATGTAGTGTTGCGGGCAGAGAGGCCACGTTGGGACGCAATACGCGCCCAGGCAGCAGTCATCATAAGCTGACCAACTTGCCTGAAAGTTCACTACATGAAGACTAGAATTCAACATCACACACTTTCTAGAGTTCCAAGGGAAAATTGAGTTTAGTATTGGAGTTTTATTAGGTATATTATTTACAGTAAAGCAACACTATTGTTGATAATTCAGCGAGTGTTCGAATGTAGTCGTGAACCCAGTCGTTGTTTAAGCCAATCCCTCCACAAAAATGATTACACAAAAACTCAATAATCAGATTAGCGCCAAATATTATTATGTTTATAATTCTCGGGTGTTTTTTATTTAGTTGATTGCGATGCGTCGCGTTTCAGGCTTCTTCGCCTTCGGGACATCAATAGTCAAGATGCCATCACTCAGACTGGCAGTCACAGCGTCCCGGTCGATACGAGCAGGGAAGTTGAAGTGGCGCGAGAATTCTCCAATGCTGCGCTCGGTGATCCAGTACTTCGCCTTATCGGCCGGAGCTGCAGGCTCATCCTTTGGGGTTGGATCGGCGGCGTTTTCGTCCTCGACCGTGGCCTGTTGCGATTTTGGAGACTCGCCAGCCTCTGTGATGGCCGCTGGATTGCCCGCAGACTCGAGCAAGCCGGTGGGTGAATTGCCAGTGTATGTCCGCTCGGTCTTTCCGCGAATAACCAGGCTCTGCGGCTCAGGGAACTCGATGGAAACTTGGTCCTTGGTCAGGCCGGGCAGCTCGCCGTGGAGGTGGTATGCGTCCGATGTCTCCCGAACGTCAAACTTGGGTTGCCAGTGAGAGATGCGTGAGGCTCGGCCGCCTGAGGTGTTTCCGCTGCTTCCGCTGCGAGAGTATTTGTCAAAGTCATCGAGAAGACGGAAGAGGGGTGTGAAGGAGGCATCGGTGTTGTAGAAGCTTTGGGGGAAGAGAGCCATTTTGAGGATTTGATGAGGGTTGTTCTGGAGTTGGGATTGGTGCTGTGGACTAGGAATTGTGGTAGCTGTAGATTTTGGTGCTTTTTGAAGATGCAGAGGCCCGATGAAGGAGCCCGGCTGCAGCCTTCATTTTATAATTGATTGATCGCATGGTCTTGACAGACAAGTAGATGAGGGTTGTTGTGTCCACCAGAATCGAAATCTCTCGAAGGCGCTGGTGATGTTCGACAGCGCCCAAGTTACAGTGATGAAGTACCTAGAAGGCGGTGGATGGTGCTGGAAAGTCCCCGAATGCCCCACTAAATTGGCAGTTAGAGCTGTTGGTGAAAGTGACACGTTGAAGTTCGTCCTACCCTATACTCAACGACGGCCAACACCATTTCATCATCAGGTAGACAGAGATAACGCTTAAAATGATTGAAAACAAGTTCCGACATCGAAAAATTACTTATTTATTGACATATGAACTAATTTAGCTAAAGATGTTTATAAAATTCTGTCAGTTATTTTAATTTTTCATAGAAGTAATACCACATCTGATAGTGCATTCATGGAGGCTTCACTCTCACAGCTCTCTCCCTTCAACAACAACGGCGCAATAGTCGGCCCGCTCCAAGACGCGTTCTTGGACTAGGCTAATTTTTTCGCGTCACTAGATTATGTCTAAAAATAAAATAGTGCGTGATTGTGCAAAGAAAAAAAAAAAATTAAAATAATCGAGACAAAGTGAATTTACTTGGCCATTTTCATCTTTTCATCACACTTACACACAGTGAGGATTGTGAAACATTGATCTCTGTATCCACTCACAATGCCTATCAGCAAAAAGGACAGAGTAGGTCTCTTTTAATTTCTCGGCTTGCCTCCATGGCTTGGTGATGTCTCTTCTTTATCCCTTGGTGCTCATTATCCTGTTTGCGCAGCGTAACCGGGAGCAGAAGAAGGCCGACGCTGCTGGCACTCGTGCCCCCGTGAAGCGAAATGGACTCCCCGTTAAGGCACCCAAGCCTACCTCGATCGTCAGTATTAATCTTTGTGTGAATCTGTTACTTGATGCTCATGGGCGGTGAACGCGGGTGGCTAAACTTTTTCTCCCCTAAAATAGTGCCAAAACTGTCGTAAGGAGATTGTGAACACCAACAAGATTCAGTTGGAGGTTCATGCCAGTACTCACGATGAGAAGCTCTGGCCCAAGGAGAAGTGCTGGCCAAATGATTTCCCTGGAACTGAAGCAGAGGCCTGATCCTGGCGACGTTATGGGACAAACTATGCAAATATTGAACATAATTGTGATGAAAGCTATGTGAGCGGCTTGTTTCTAAAAAATAAAAACTAGAGATCCTTCTAATTCTAAATGAATGACATCTCATCCTTTGATCTTCAACACAGCAAGTCCTCCAATTCTAAACGAATGGCATCTCGTCCTTACATTATCAACCTAGGAGGAAGCCCGCAGTGCTTCCAAGTTGTAACTAACGCAGTCCTCCAAGCTTGTCCATCCCGGGAGCCCGAGTTCCTTGAGCAACTGCTCCGCCTTGTGTCGAGGCGGGATCTCATGGGGATCCTCGCCGCCCAAGAAATTGTCAGGTATTTTGCGGTTAGGCTCTTGTTTCCTCATGATTTCCAGGATCTTGTCCCAGGAAAAGCGGTCGGCGAAGCCGAAAAGTCTCTGGTCCTTGACTTTCTCGAACAGAGCGCCGATGACGTGAAGGCGGCCAACATCTTGCACGTCGACGAAGTACTCTGAATTGGGCGTCAGTAACCACGATTGAGAGAGCAGTATCAACAGACTTGGGCTTTAACTTACGCGGATTCTGCGCCTTGTGGAATGGGAGGACCTGTCCTTGCCAAAGCGCCGGGATAAGGCCACCGCTGCTCAAGTAACCCTGGCGAACGGGGTCAAGCGACCTGCCAAACACCAAGTTGGGGAGTACTTGTGAAAGAGTTAGTTTTCGGGACTGACCAAACCAGTTCCTCTATTCTCACCTGTATTGACAACTAGGTCAGGCCTCTTGCTACGGTTCTCTCGGTGAAACTTCCACAGTTCTTGCTCAGCCTGGGTTTTGCTGGCCTCGTACACCCGAGCGCCGTGATCAGCCGGGTAAGGGGGTTCCGACCAGGCATGCTTGACAGCCCACTCGTTCTCGGTATCATCGGTAGCGACGATTGGAGGAACATCGGGATGAGAAGTTACTACAGCAGAGGAGGAAGACGTGAAGACAAATCGCTTCACGCTCGGCTCGGCGTAGGCCGCCTTGAGAGCATTGAGCACACCAGCAATGACCGTTGGGATCACATTCTTCGGGTCGGGGTCGAATGTCATGACAGAAGCTGTATGAACGAAGATTTTGACACCTGGAGTTGATTGTCAGTTCAAACTGCGGAAAGCCCATTCTGCTCTAAGTAGTTAGGACTTTAGAACACAGACCTTTGATTGCCTCGTTGAAAGCACCGTCCTTGGACATGTCGTCAACTTGGACGAGCTCGAACCTGTCCTTGCCATACTTCTTCTCAAACAAGTCGGCATACCAAGCATGCTTCACAGTGTCTCGAACAGTTGCCCGAACGTTGTATCCATAATGGAGGAACTGGTCCGCGACGTGCGAGCCCAAGAAGCCATTGGCTCCTGTCACAAGAACGAGGGAGCCTTTGGGGAGAGCTGGATTTTGCAGGGGAGACATTTTGAAGGTGTTTGAGCTTTCCTGATTGGTGTTATGCGTTTGAAGTGCTTGAAAGTGGTGCGATGGTGAAGAAAATCGATCGGGAGCAGCCAGGACGTCGACATTCTTAAATACTTAGCATCTACTTTATTGGATCCCATTATGAGAATATTAAATTGCTTGCGATGACAAATTTTCGGAGCGAGCATCGTGATTGACAAATATTATAGAGCGAGCGTCGTGATTTGTTGCTGTACGTGCAGGTCGCATCGCAAAAAGTTGCATGGTCGGATGACAAATTCATTATCTCCAGGGACGAACGCCGAGTGCCCACAGCCGCACATAGCCTATGCAGTCATTAACGTCAGCCGGGTCGGGTCGACTCGAAGAATGTCATTTTTCCTTTTTGGGGATGGAATTCCGATGCAACAATGAAATGGATTTTACCTACTCAAGATGCCACATGTCGATAAAGACTGAAGTACCTAATTATGATGGGGAGTAGCTGATCTACTGAGGAATTCTTGATTCAATATCATTCTATCTGGTCTATGTATTATTGTTTCTTTATATGATGATGCGGACGACAGACTTTGAGTACAGATTGAAAAAAATAGCAATGGATGATGCCAGACTCGACATCTCAACACCATGAATATTTCCTATTCTTATTCTTAAATGGGTTCCAGCTCATTCTCTTGCTAAGTCGCCGCAGGATAGTCGGATTATCTCTCTGGGCTACAGTTTGTAGCATGTTTTCGTAATAGTCGCAAGGGTCATCGACGCGAGCGCCGTGCCTAAGCAGAAGCTGCACAATTTCGTCGTTGCCTCGAGAAGCCGCAACAGTCAGTGCGGTCCCGTTAAGAGGCGAGATCTGGTTGACGGAAGCTCCATTCTGAAGAAGCAGTTTGGCGATCTCGACTCGATTCAAGGCTGCAGCAATATGCAACAGTGTAGCTCCAGACGGATCAAAGGCGTTCACATCAACGCCACTTTGTATGATACGCCGAGTTGTCTCTTGCTCGTCATTGACAATCGCATTGCGTAGATTTTTAAAGTCTGCTTCTCGAGTGTTGCGTCTGAAAGGTCGGATAGACGCCTTTATTTTATCGAGGTCGGATTTCATCTTGCGACTGAATGTCGCCCTCGCCCCCGATCGTTGTTCTGAACATCCGGGGAACTTATCGGAACGTTTGCCTTTGCGAGTATATGTATCTATCACCCGCACGATCGGGTAGAAGAGAATTTCGATAGGAGAATTCCATGTCTCTTTCATTTCCATGAACTCAATGCCCAGCTGGAGGGCGTGGTTGGCTCCTTGCTCTTTGGACACCATTCTGGGAACGTTTGATCCGGAGTCGATTCCGACAAGGAGAAGTGGCATTGGGGGCACACGATGGCATTCGCAACTCTTCCGCCGCGTGTATTCCACACTGCGCACACGCTCAATCTTGTCGTACTGAGCTGTTACTTGGCGAAGAGCGTTCTCATTGGTGACGCTGTATGCCAACAGTATACCATCAGCCTCGCGGATGAATTTGTCGGCTAGAATTGCGTATCGCTTAGACAATGAGGTGAAAACTTCGGTCATGAACGGTTTCTCTCTGGTTCCAAGCCGAAGACCGGTTTCAGTTTGTCTATAACGGGCAGAGTCCGTGTTCATTGTGTTGAAATGTCGGGTCTGGGATCTTCTATTGTTGTTTAACTTTATACTCGGACTCTCTTTCGTATAACTGGAAGAGTCTTCTATCCTTGCGAAATGGTGGTACGAGTATTGGGTTATTGGGGCGACTTTGTCGATTCCGCTCACCACAATGAGTAGTATCTTCAGTGGGTTGATGGTTGAATCATGCGTATCGGTTGAATCGCGACTATTGGTTGAAATGCGTACATTGGTTGAATTTGGGTTGACATGGATAGACCCATACGCATTGGTTGAACCGTACGCATTGGTTGAAACGCGCACATTGCTGAGTCCAGGTGGATAGCCACAGTTGGTTGAACCGTACATATTGGTTGAACCGTACATATTGGTTGAATCGTACGTATTGGTTGAATCGTACGCATTGGTTGAATCGTGCGCATTGGTTGAAACGCGCGCATTGCTGAGTCCAGGTGGATAGCCACAGTTGGTTGAACCGTACATATTGGCTGCACCGTACATGTTGGTTGAATTGTAGATATTGATTGATTTGCGAATGAGGCTATGAAGATGGAGATGGTGGCCTGGGATGCTGTCTCAGTACATTATTTATCGCGAACTCATGCTCATTCTCCTGCTTGCCGCCTGGCCGCCATGTTGCCGGCCACGGAGGCTTAGATTCTTTCTGCCTCGAACCTGCGAAAGGACAAAGCCCCCGTTGGCCGCTCTGGAGGCCGGGCTCACACATTGCTTTCCTTGCCTGCATGAGCCCCGCCAGACTGATGGGCAGGGGTCGATTGGACATCCAACGCTGTAATTGATTGATGGGTAACAGCGGGCGCAGTATTGCAGGGCTGACAGCGCCAAAATGAGGTCGCATTGGCGGTTGTCTCGGTCTCAAAACTGATATGCAGTGCCTCAGTCCCCTCGGCCTAGGACATAGGCCCGGCGCGTCTCAAGGCACTTCCACCAATGCGATGATTTGGAATCAGGTGCTTATCGCAGAGTAGCATGCCATCCCATTGAGACGCCGACTTGCTTTGCAGAGCATAGCTTGGCCATGCGTTTCTACAGTGAAGGGCCATTCATTTGCCCAAGTTTGTGGTCTACACAATTGCGGCAAATGCTTGGGCCAAACCGATGGCTTACCAATTTAGTAAAGTAGATCGAGCGAAACCTGATATCTCATGTACTAGACATTTGGCCGGTACCGAATCAACCTCTTCCGCGATTAATGATTAGCCTATGGTACGCGTGGGATTTTGAAGATCTTGTGAAGTTCCTCCTGAACAACAAGAGCTGTGGGCATCAACCACAGACAAAAAGTCTTTGCATTAAGAAAAAGGCACGGAATATTGATATGCCACCATTTTTAATGTCCTACGATATTGCCCCGTCTCACCTAGTTTATCGTGCATTCTGTGTTATGCCGTGCTAAATTGAACCTACCCATCCCTTTCACATGTTGTGCGGGCAGTTCGTGAGGGCTGTCCCACCGACTTTAATTGATATTTCCGGCGTCATTTGTCTTGGCTCCCATCTTTGGGCTCTGCTGTCCAGTACAATGCCTGTCTTTGCCGCTTTACGATGCCGCTGTTCGGAGGGTCGAGTCTCGGGAGAAAATGTATGACTCGGGGCGCTGAAGCCATGCAGTCGACTGTCGAGCTGCTCCTCTTCCATCATGCAGCTCTGAAGAATCATCATAGCTGTTGAGTTTTTCTTGCCGCTCTCAAACAGACCTCAAATATCCCCGTTGTATCTGATCGTTCGTTGTACGGCCGCGCCATATTTTCGGTCGGGTTCGTGGGGATTCGCACATTTGGTTGGCGAATCTTGAAGCCAGCGGTTCGAGCAAAATGTTGTTGGCGATTGGGGAATGGACATCAGACCGCACTCATCATCCACAACCTCAACACCCTTGCCGCCTGGCTTCGTGTTAGGGTGTGTTGGTTGGTTCCATGTTGGTTGGATGCAGCAGTGGTCAAATTTCGGAGCAAGTGAACGCTGCTACGCGACTCCACCTTCTTATCTTATCGCGGCAAGGTCTGCTTAGTAATAGAACTCACGGCATCTCGGAGCCTCCAAGCTTCAATCAAGAAGTTTCAATTCTCGAGAAACTCTGCCATCATCTGTTTTTTTTTTGGGGGCGGTATATGTCATAGATCCCTTCTATTAAGCCATGCCTTCAAATGCTGTAGCTCAACCTCGATTTACGGCGAATATGCACTTCATCTCAAGTCAGCGAGAAAATGAATGTAGCATATATCACAACAGTGGTAACACCAGCCGTGGGAGCAAGCGAAGCAAGATGGATTTTGATTCGCTGTTTCTTTGATTCTGCATACCTTAGTCTATGAGTCTAGGCATCAACATCCACGAAAGGAAGCTCCCCAAGACTGGTTCCAGCACGCCGAGGCTCACCATTTGGTTGGAAAACAGTCATCGTGATGAAAATGAATAATGTAAGTTCTGTCCAAAAATTGTGGCTGGAATTCACCCCATTCCTGGGCTGGTTGCTGCTGCTGCTCTTGCTGTATCACCCCGACCGTTGATCACAGCTGTTCAGTGTACAACTGGCAGTATACCCGGAATAGATACATATTAGACCTCGAAATAGACGGTTTTGCTAGCTCCCGAAGGAAGCCTCTAAGCTAGATACCGATACACGAGTCATAGGAGTTTTCGGGAGGGCTCAGACAAGTGCAAGAGCTAGCAGACGACGTCGATGTTATCATGACCCATTGATTGGCAATTTACGGATAAAATGCCCGAGTTAGCCCTCTGGCATTAGTATCGCCATTTGGTCTAGTCCAAGAGCTCTTCGGTCTCCTAGAAATGTAGGATTTTGTCCATTTGAGAAGCACATGGGGAGGAGATGCCCTATGAAACACCGGGTGGGCCATCAAAGCTGCTTCTGAGATGCACGAAGGTCTCCGAAACCTTGGCAAGGCCTGCTTCTTCAATATTGTGTGTTCGGATACATAATTGTGAATAATAGGACTTGTCGGAGGACTTCTTTGCTTGCCCTTGTAGTTGTAGAAGGATCACATAAAAAATCCGCCTCTTTGGACCTCCGAATCATGACAGAGTCCAAGTAGGAATGAAAGCGCAATTACGTTACGTGGTGATAGAATGGCGGCTATGGTCTAATTGGCGAATGAGAATTCGCAAGTGACCAACAGGGGCAATTCAAAGGTATTTAATTAATTCTTCTGAAAGCAACCAACAGGTCAAATTTTGCCCTCGCCATCATAACACAGGACGGTTGCGGGGTCAAGATACATTTGATGTCAGAACAACAAGGTTTTTGGATTTTTTTTTTCTCTTCGTTAATTTTAGCAGTAAGTTTCCAATACAGTTTCTTTTTCCTTCTCCAGCCATTCTGAAAAACTAGTCAGCTTGATGGCGGACGATAGCTCCTCCATGTCCATGTACTCGGCCTGCTTCCTCATTACCCGGTCTGACATCATGAAAGAGAACGACACTGCCTGCGAGTCGATATCCTCATCGGTCATAAAGTACTCCTCAAACTCCGTCCCAGTCGCTTCGCCCAATTGCTCCAACATATCGGGGACGCTCAGCAGCTCGCTGGCGAAAGGGATGCCCCGCCCGTGCCATTTCTCAGGGTTCTGGAATATCACCACAACAAGCTTGCTGATGTCGTCTGGGTCGGCAAGCGCTAGCCTCTCGCCTTCCCTCATGACGGTTTCCCAAATGTTCTCCTGGCGCAGATGAGGGAGGAAGTAGTCGACTTGTGGTGTGAGGAGGTTGTTCATGAAGAACGCCGGGCGGATAAACGTCCAGTGCTTGAAGGGCCCGTCCTCTATGGCCTGCTCGATGACCCTCTTGCCCGTGATGACCATCTTGAAGAACGGCGACAGGGTGGGATCGCCCAGCGTCACGACACCCAGGGACCCCGAGAGCGCGACCTGCTGGACCTTTGCGGCCTTGGCGGCGGCGACGATGTTGAGGCCCTGCCGGCGCTCGCGGTCCGGATCGTCGGCGTAGGTGATCGTGGAGATGAAAATCTTTTCTACGCCGCTCATGGCAGCCGTCAGCGAGGCGACGTCATCCCAGTCGCCCTCAGACAGCTCTACTCCGGCGGCCTTGAGCTGCCTGGCGGCATTGGAGTCTGGGGTCCGCGAGGTCCCCTTGACGGTCCAGCCCAGCCGTCGTAACTGAAGAGCCAATGGCTTGCCTTGGCTGCCTGTGATGCTGCAGAGGAATACGGAAGGGGGTGGCATGGCTCAGGATGCGCTTTTGCGTGTGGGTTCGTGTCTGCGAGCGGGGTCGCTGTGGGCGGCGTCTCGGAATGTGCCTCTGCCAGAACACCAAGATTTTAATTGCCTGCGTCCAGGTTGGAAGGGGGGTAGGTGACGGTTTGCGGGTGCGGCAAATATGGGAGTTGGAGGATGCTCGGCGGCCATGCAGGCTCGTCAGCAGTCTTGAGCAGCGAGCCTGGCCCTATTATTTCCCTATTTATTAATAATTCTCGGCTTGGCTCCTCCCTGGGGAAACAAACGCCTGCGCAGGCTAGGTATTGATGGCTTCTTATCGTCGTCAATCAGGGGCCGGTTGTTGTAGGGGTCAACCCAGAGGAGGGGGAGAAAGAACTTTGCGTCTTTTCCCACCTCGGCCTAGCTGGCGCCAAATCTAATTCTACGGCTGAGGATCTGGAGCACCGGTTCCATTCCAGCAGGCAATGTCGGACAGTCGGTCGTAGGTCGATGGGGTATAGCGAGTGGGCTGCAGGATGCATAGGCGCCGGTGGGGGAGGGATTTCCCAGCAACTCGAGCGAAACCCGAGCCAGCGGTCTAGATGTCGTACTAGCCGTTAGCTGGCATGCAAGCCTCTTGGTCAAAATCTTCGTGACAGGGATTGACGTTCAGCTGACAGCCACAATTCAGACAGAGCCCGGATAGCACCGAGCTGCGGTCCCGCTCTTTACGTACGCCAGTCAAGCCCAAGGGCTGATCATTACCAGGTTACGGGGATCTTTATCCTGAATTGGCCGGGGAGC